AATGGGCATGATTACCTTTTCCTAGAAATTCATACACAAAGATACTTACTTTGCTTTCGGGTTTCTTTTTTCGCGATATTTGTCTAAAAATTTACATAGAAATTCAGAAGTTTGTTTGGGATTACCACGCCCGGCAGTTGGGACAATAACCAAGAACACATCGTATGTTTGCTTTCTTTCCATAGCACGCAAAATTGGCGTTATTAAACGTTGATTTGTTTTTGTAATCTACATCAATAAAGAAAAACATTCGAACATGCTGAAAATGATAATCATGCATAAAACTTACATCAAATATATCGCAAAAACCAAGTGCATCTTCCACACTAATTTCTCGCTCCCAAGGCAATTGCCCCAAAGTAAGCTTATCATCGACCCAGTAAAACACATCAACCTCTTTCTCTTTTTTGTAGTAGCCTAATGCTAATGTTATAGCTGCTTCGAGAAAACCTAATTTTTTGTGGTTCTTTAAAGGTTCTAGAATTGGAATATAATTGGTGTCATTCGCATTATTTAAGGCATCGAAGAAGTATGCAACTGTGTAAATATGTATGTATTTCACTTACTTTTCCTATAATTTTTTTGAATATTAATGGTGATATGCATACGCAAGCCAGTACTTTGATTGTTGCCGAATGACTGTTCGTACAGCTGTTTCAAGAGCGGCATCTTCAGTGATTCGATCCGTTTGGGTGCCACCTGAAATATATGTTAATTGGTATACAGTTTGTCATACTAGTTTTTAGTATTACCTTTGCTATGTCATCGCGCAAGCCCAAGTCACGCATTTGCATGAGGAACACAATTGGATGAATATTGTCTTTGCGCAATAGCTTCTTATTTTCAAATAATGTCTGGCATAGTTTCATTATCTTTGGATTATCGAAGTGATTGTAACGAGCAAGATTGCGCCAACTCTTTAGCAGTTGAATATAAGACATGGTTGGTATTAAAGTCTCCATGATAGGGGCAAATCGTAACAAATGGCCTGGTACTTGATTGTAACGTAGTTTGAATTTGCGAATGATTTTCAATGCTTCTGCCTTGTTCTTAGTTGTGCGTAGTTTGCTTACTGACAGAACAGCAGTTGGGAACATTTCTGTGTTACTTTTGGTCTTTTCAACTTCAGCAGCGGTTGCTTTGGTCGCTTTCTTCTCGTCTTCTGCTCGGTTTGTAACATCTACATGATTTTCAATAGCTGTTTCGCTAGATTCAGATGCTTTAAGTAATTCCGTGCAGGTTTTGAAAAATGGGGTGACCACACCCGCAGCACCTATGGTTTCATCGTTAATGTGACATAGCTTTATAAGTGATTTGTGCGTAAAGCCATGTGCACCTCGATGCGTCAGCCACATTTGACGTATCTCATCGGGTGACTGATTCTCATACCAGGATGTTATGGCTTTGCGTGTGGTATTAGTAAAACCCTTATGATTTTGTTCTCGCCGAATGAGTGTAGCATATTTACAAAATAGGAAAAGGTCTTCATCATTTCGTATTAATGCCGGAAATGCTTTTCTTAACGACGTTTTCCTTTTAATTTCAATGTCACTAGCTAAATAGACTGCATATACGAAGAGCGACTAATATATCAATACGGAAAATAGAAAGGTTAGTCAACATTTGCAATATGTATACATGTACATATTTAAATAATATTAACCTCATCACGTCGCACTAACGTTGTCTCCTGTAGAGCTTGTTTCAATATCATAACCATTGAAACGTCATCCAACGCTTGGCAAAGTACCTGCAGCTGCGGCAAGTATTTATGCACATCGACTGAACCCCGCAGATGAACGTAGACGGGTTCAAAGCCGCCAAGATAGCAGTAGCGTTGCAATTTAGCCTTTGCATCCAACTCCATTGCTCAACTTAATTTGTCAATACAATACTGAATGGAAAATAGAAATCGATTTCCTTCGAAATACTACAAAGAAGACAATAGTTAACTCCACTCACGTTTCAAACCTATTGCCACCGTCTGCTTTCGACACAGCAAATTTCACTCTTCGCTTCGCTGCTGATTCTGGCCACAGCCCAAAATCAAAGACGCAAAAACAATACTTCGTTACGTTACCAAGTTAATTCCACTTTTCTGTGGATATTTCCTTTATAATTGGGTATGTTTTTTGGTTTATTAAATGCAAAAATGGATAAACTCAAGAATGAAATGAAGAAATGTGCAAAACGCACAAACCGTAGTGAAATGCAAAATGCAGAAATTCTGCTGTATTTTGTGATGAGAAAAAGCGATGGGATCTTAATCGATAGTCGATAAGTTTTTGCAAAAATTAACAGAAGTTCATGTATAATCGATAACCAAAATTACAAATTTATCAATTACTACGTTTATACGTAAGCTAATTGTAAATAAAAATAATTTGCAAATACCTAACTCATTAGGGGTATTCTCCGACTCTTGCAAAGCCCTTGCACGGTGCACGGATTGCACGGTTTGCAAAGCTGTCCCATACGAAAACCGGTTTTTACCGTGCAATCCGTGCAATCTGTGCACCATGCAAGGGCTTTGCAAGACTCAGAGAATACCCCTACTGTTTATTCGATGGGGAAAAATCTTTTTTAATATTGCCTTATTTGCAAATAGTACCACTAATCAATACTTAATTGCGTGATTTAGTTAGTTGCAAATAAAAAGTAAACTCAGCGTTTATACGGTAAAATTTACCATTTTGCAAATTGTTATTTGCAAATAATACGTGCGTACAAACGTAGTAAATAAACCCGGGAATATTCAAAACTATTTTTCCATTTGTGGGTTTTATTATTTCAATTAAATAATTAGAGGATTCCCATAAACTCGTAAACGGCAGGAAAACCTCGAGACTTTAACAGACTCGGAAAACGACTATCAAAAATGGTATGAATGATGCTTTTCGCGGCCTAGAAAACTTTCGAAGCAATCTAGTTGCGGAAACACCATTGAAAAGAAAGAGCCAATTTACACGAGGACTTTTCACCCTGGGTGAGTTCGAGATGCGCTCCGCTTTAAAAATGTGGACGAAAGGGTCTCTAATTCACGTTTAAGAGAATCCCCTAAATAGTTTGTGAAGTCTGTTTCATAAGGAAAATATTTGATTGTGTATTTGCTACAGATGACAAACAACGCAGGCGAATAGTTGAGAGTTGGCGTTAGCGTTGCCAAATTTTCGCTACGTGAATGGCTGCATTTAAATTCATGTGTTCATAGCCAGCTGTTGAAGCGACGCCAAAGTCAACGTAGCGCCAAAGATGAATGTAGGCGGACCTTCAAATAAAATACATTATACGTTCTCGAAACAAAAAAGCTCTTACGCGAGAGCATGGGCTTGGTCACCACTGTAATTCGCCAAGATCAGATCACAAATAGAGATTTTCTGTCCAACAAATGTACTATCCAAATTTGGTGTAATTCCGTTTAAGTTTTTGAGTCAAGTTTTAACAAAGGAAACTGCTACACTTTTATATCTAAACGCCTTGTTCACTGTGACATACTCTTGCATTTCTGGCGTAGTATACAGACGACCAGTGGAAAGTGTAAAGTTTTTTAATTTATGGGAACATCACTTTTCAATTAAAAAAGTCGACTTTCGATTAATTGAATTCGTTATCGACTTTGGTTAGTTGTGAATACACCTTTCACTTAAATCCCTTTATACTTTACTCCCTTCACTTTAAGTACATCAATACTTTACTTTACTTTCAATCACTTTACTTTCAGTTACATCAATAGAATGACTTGTATGTAAATTTGTTGTTGCGAATAGCGAACTAGAAAAAAGCGCCAAATTTGACAACAACAAAACAAAATGTTATCGACTAATTTGAATCTCCGTTTCGATTTGAGCATGCGCATGCTTTTCTTTAGTTTATAGGCAGCACTGTCACATATACAGAGAACGTAAATTTACGTTCTTTGATATATTTTACGTTCTACGTTGCCACGAATAAAGCTGGAACTCCATAGGAAAGCGTATGCGAACGTATACGTACACGTGCGTTTGACTGCTGAGTTGTATACTCATGTAAGCGCAGAGAACGGACAAAAATTCGAACATGAGTTCGAATGCGCACAGAGTTGAATTTTCTCAACTTTAACGCATTTGCTTGCGCAGGCAACCTACTAACAGCTAATTACACCACACGTTTGGTTATTCATATGTAAATACATATACCTACATATTTTGATGGAGAAATTTTGCGGCTTGGTATGTACTAAACATAAATCGACGTTTCAAACTTTGTCCAAAAATTATGAAAAAATCTGCAAAATTTCAGCTACATTTTCAACCTTTTATTCAGATTTTTAAGAATTTGTTTGAGTATTCAGCTTGATAGCCCATTAAGCTTCAGAGTAATAATGTGCAAGTTATAAGTTGCTAAATAATCGCTTTGATTTTTAATAATTTTTTTTCTCTTGTAGACATTTGGTTAGGTGGTCGGTTGTCGAAAATGCTAAATTACGTTCTGCTAAGAAGGAACATATCAATATTTCAGCCTTTTTTGCGTTCATTACATTTGTAATGAAGCCTTAAAAGAGTCGCCTACTTTTTTCTGACTTTCTATGCTGATACAGTTTTGTTGGTACTTTTGCGAGCATGCGTTTTGCAATAGATCAGATCTTCCTGATTTGGCTTTTAATTTGACTTTGCAAACATTGCAATAAGGCTTTTAACCTCAAGTGCTTTGCATCATATTTAAGTCATCTGTGCCCAAAAAAAAATATCTTTTGAAGAAGCTGCTGCAAAAAACAAAGCTAATTCAAAACCAGTTACAAGATTAAGTAACGGAGAAAAATTACTGACAAGTTAAAAAACGTAATTTTTAACACAGAAAACGTCCTAACGTCAACAGAATACAAAAAACGTCCAAATGACGTTAAAAAGGTCAGCCTGGCAACGCTGGCCCCGACACAGCAGTTTCTTTTGCGGTTAGAGAGCCAGTGTAAGTATACGCGATTAATTAAATAGAAAATAGGGAGCACTGGTTTATTACCAGAGAACGTAAACGTTCTTTGTAATTCAAGGAAACCGTTACACGCACAATTGTGTTCCATTCAAGAAAAATATTTAGGTGTTTCATATGGAGATAGGTGTATTTTAGCACGAATAGATAAACTTGCTTAATTATTTTATGAATTAAACAATCTGCGGCTATCCGAAAATAATAATATAATGCGTGTAAGTATCAGCATATATGTGTAATATTTATATCCAAGCAACCATTTTTTATATTTCTTCGTACAGATCTTACGTTCGCAGTATTTGAAGTACAAGGCACAGCAGGGTCAGGAAGCCAGTACAAGTTCTAAAACAACAACAACGGTAAGTAGTGTTTAGCCTACAACTATTGTCGCCAATAGCCACCTTAGTTTGTATTTACCTGTGCCCTCAGCTGGCTTCGTTAAACGATGAAACTGAGGTGCAGCATACAACCTCCAAAAAGGCAAATGGAGATTTGAAATCAATACAAACCGTTACGCAGACAACGCGTACCACAATACGGCGGAGTTCGATAGCACCACTCAAGGATAATTCTTCGCGCGCACCCTATAGGCGCAATTCAAGTTATCCATTAAATGAAACTACGCAGATAGCCGATAATTTGCAAACGTGTTTGCCATCTGGTCAAGACGAGATTAATAGCAAATGCCTTGATGCGCCTACAACGCCAGCAGCAATACAGCAGGGACGGCAGACAGTCGCTTGCACTAACACCGATGAGCTTTTAAAACATCAGATATTAAACGCATTAAAAATTAAATTGCTAAACACGCCATGTGGGCGATACACGCGCATCAATTTGGTCGTAAGATTCTATGATGAAGGTGCGAATTGGTATACACGATTCTATCGTAGTTATCAGAATACTCTATGGTTGAAGATACCCCGTACGGACGGTGGTAATAAAAAACAAAAATGGTATTTTAAATGTGAGGTCTGTCAGAAGAAATTATGCTCGTTCGGAACTCTTAAGTCGCATCTTAATTTACATATGAAATTCTTCCCACATCGCTGTGAGGTGTGTCCAAAACAGTATGCCGCTAAGAATATATTAACGCGTCATAAGAAAACAAAGCATGTGAATGAGGTTTAGAAGTTTGCACAAAGAAGACGTAGAACTATTGGACGAAGTAAGCATTTACGAGAAAATATGACGGTATTACAAAGGATTAAATACTGGAATAAGCGCTAAATATTTTAAGTTTCTTTTATAGATTTAAGTTTATGTAGATTTAGGCTTAAAGCGAAGTTTACTTCTGTGACAATCGCCCAGTGAAAATACTTGACCATAATAGATACTTATTTGGATTATTTGTATATGTATGTATTTGTCAAGAAGCTTTTGCAAATTGTCTGAACCCTCTAGTTGTAATACTTTACAATAATGAATTTTTTGTACAGAAAAAATGAATAAATTATAATTTTTGTTCCTTATATATGGAACTTGACAAAAATATGCACCTGTTTGTATTTAGATCAAAATATCTGCCAATAAGGAATAACAGCTTAATTTTTGATCCTAGCAGCCTTCTGAATATTCCCATTGCATTCCATCAAAACGTTACTTTTAGTTTGGACTTCCGACCTAAGCTATTATTTCTTATTGACAGGGATACATTGATATTCAGCCCTATTGCGAGCTAGTCGCTCATCCTTCTTCAACTGTTTGTTTGTAGAAGGATGAGCGACTATAAACTATTGACACTCACTTAATGAACCAGAAAACGACTTCGAAAATACCACGGATAATCGACAGTAGACTAACAGTCGTTTATCTACTGCTAGTCGACACTCGCAATAGGGGTGACATGTGTGTACAAATGTACGTATGTAAAGACTAAGCCACTGGTTAATGCCTACATTTATACTTATGGGGCATTCCAAAGTGAGGGATGGGACATTTTAGCTCGTTGTTGCTAAAACTTTAAGTAAATTCTATTTAACCATTGATTTGACAAGTTTCAAAGTGTTAACACTTGAATCGGTTTAATACGAAATTGATAAAGTATAAAATTTAAATTTATAATTTACACAAAAATTTAACATTATCAAAGCGTGACGGGTGGGAAAACGATGACAACCGCTTCTCTGAGTTGTTGGGTCCTTTCCGAATTTTAAACAATATATAAATATTTCGTTCATAGCGGCTTTCTCGAATGTACATAGCTAGTAGAATGTTGAGTACCATTTTGTGCTTTAATGGCATTATAATATTTTAAAATACCTGTTTTAGTTCGTGAGTAAAATGAACGCTACTGGCTTGATGTGAATATTTATTATATTTTTAATAAGGGGACCTCATTTGGACAATGGGAAGCTTAAGAATTTGCATTTTACGTTAAAAAATACATATTTTGCTGTGACGGTTTGGACATCCAATATCTATTTCTAAAGAATTATACTTACTGCTTTACTGTTTTTACATACTATTAAAACATAATTTATGTAATTTATTTTTCACCTGAGGTGTCGTCTTCGCTGGAATGGCCCTTATTTATCTATGTACCATAACAGCAAATCGTTGTATATGAAGTAAGGATGCTGTACTATTTATGTTTTCTACTCATCTCGAAAAGAGTTGTACCTAAAAAGGAGTTTAAGCGAAACCATTATATGCGTTTAATGCTTTCGAAATTTGATTTATCGAAAAGTTCAAAAACTGACAAAGTTTTCAATAATTCCAAGCCCTTGAAAAGAAAAAGAATAACTGATTTCGAAGTGAAAGATAATAAGTTTATTATTTTGTATTAGATTTTTGTTAATTTCGTTCTCGGTTTTAATAATCATCATTATCGATTAAATTAAGTAGTTTGTTGAAGATTTTTGTTACATCTTTAACGACTCTTTTGCTGCTCAATGCGAAGCGTATTTATGTACATATGTATGTTGGGGGTGGGGGAATATATAAATTCATTATATCGCTACTTTAATAAAGAAAAGAACTACCTAAATTTCGGTTTCTTTACATCTGGTTTTGAAAAGAAAAAATAATAAATAAATGACTTAGGGCGTTTCTATATTCAAGTAGCGACATGGAACAGCAAAATTCTGTGGGCTGTAGCATAAAACGTAGCAAATTATTTTTCTTAAAATTTCACACCTTTTACTCAATTTGTTCAAGTAAATTTAAGTGAAAGTTATGAAATTATGCATACGGCCCATTGTGAGAGTTTAGTTATAAAAGTAGTAGTTAAAAAAGTGGTTCGATACACCGAATTTGTTGCACAAAAAAGCGGTTTATAGTATGTCCTTTTTTAAGGCTTTGCATTTGTTAAAAAAAAACAAATAAAGAATAAATTGGGAGTATGAACACATGTCATGCGCGAAGAAAGCTTTTAACAATTAATCACAAAGTGTTAAACGTAAAGTAAAACGTTGAGCAAATTTGTATATTCCCTCAAGCTCAAAGCTTAGCTTCTTAACTTGATTCACTTAAAAGCTAATTTATTTATTACGTAAATTATTTTTGCAATTTGCATAAAATTATTTGCTGCTACGTTTGCTTATTTATAGGTATGCGATTTTCGTATTTATTTTGCTGTACCTTAAATTACTACTTTTATCGGTACATTTCAGTGTGAATTTTATTTTGAATTATATGTATTTAAGTATATATTCGTTTTTCCGCATTTTGTTTGTTAATGTTTAATTTTGGAATTTGTATAAGGTAAAAATTTCGCTAAAATGTTTAAGAATACATACATTATAGATTCATACTTTTAAGTTGCTCAAATGTTCTAAATGTATGCATGAACATATTTCGTTTTACCAACTACAATTATTGCCACCTCTAATAAGAAAATATTAATTGGTTGTTGATGGGGTTACCCCTTTTTTTGCTATTCCTTATTCTTCAATGAAGTGTTTAGCGCGTTTAAACAATATTTTTAAGAGTTACGTTATGCACGTAGCGTAAATTTACTATTTTCGATTTATTCGTATGTATGTATGTATGAATAAACAAAAATGTAATGCCACAAATGTAACTATTACTTTTACCCACTACATTTTCGAAATATACATATGCATACATATGTATGTATATTTTTTAATAAATTATCGCTCAGCTGGCACCTGCACGCATTTGAAGTTTATTCGCTTAAGGATTCCGTTCTGTTTTTAATATTATACTTTTTTAATAAGCATTTTTTTTCTAGTAAACTACTAATTAAAGACTTAATTAAGCTTTTTATTGCACTTAGTTTATAAAGTAAATCTTAATGCTTTGCATTTGTTTTGTAGATATTAATTGTTTATTCAAGGTTTTTATTGATCTTTACGTTGGAAATTGCTTTTATTCATCTATTCTTTTTGCCACGCATTTACTCTTTGGCGCTATTTTTTTTATAAATTTGTCTATATTTATGTACATATGTATGTAGCATTTCTTTAATGTCCAGTGAACAATGGGCCGTATGAATAAAAATATGCAATTGCGTGTTCTTAATATATCAGACCTTTTACTTAATTTTTTAAACAACATTTAAGTAAAAGGTATGCAATTTTAAGAAAAAGCAATTACTTAGTTTTTATTCATACGGCCCAATGTAATATGTATGCACATGTTTTAAAAAATCGTACGTATGTACATATGTATGTATGTCATAAAGTTATTTTTGTTAAGTATTTGATTCTTGGCATATTGCTGATCTAAATACATATTTACATTATTACATCGTATTACAGGTAATTTGATAAATTTTTGTGGCAAAAAGACATTTTTCGTGCTGACAAAAATTAAACTTTTTCTCTTTGATACTTGATAAAGAAAACTTCAACCAAATATCAGTTAATTATTATCTTATCATTAATTTTTTGTTTTCAGATTAGTAAATAAATGAAAAATTATTATTTTTCCATAAAAATTAAATTTGCAAAAGCTTTTAAAATGTTGGCCGTGGAAAATGAAGAGTTTTGAGTTTTTTTTTTGTAGGAATACTTGATCTATTTGCCAATAGACGGGGAGAACATAATAAAAAGAGGAAACGAAAAACTGTTTACAATTTTATTGTAGCAAACTCTGCTCCTTTCCAGTTAACATATTTTCAAATGAAATTGTTATAATTTGGCAACATTTTTGAAAATTGCCACGGTATAAATAGTTTTTATAACTAAGTGACTGGTTTTTGCTTCCATACTTATATAAAAAAACTGCATTCAAACTTTTCTAATAAAACCATAAATAAAAAAGTTACCGCTTTAGACTACTCGTTCGTTAAGGGTTAAATTTTTTTGTTTACTTAAATATGGGATATCATATACCGATCAGTAGAACACTCATGTTTCTTCAATCATCTACTTATTTAGCCGCATTTAATTTTTGCCACAAAAATTGGTCAAATCACATATGGCGCATTGATAGGTATAAAGCAAAAAAAAATAAACTGGAATATCTTCTGTGTTTGGGTTAAATAAAGAACAGATATTCTTATAAGTCAATGAATTTAGTATTCTTAACAAAACTTTAAAATGCAAAACTTTAGAATACTTTGTATGGTAATTTGTCTCCTATAAAAATTCAAATAGACCCCTCTATTCTAACAGAGTCACAAAACTTAGCTCATCACTGTTGTGATTTCAAGCATGATAAAAACATAGAAAGGTAGAACCGTTCTCTCAATGTGTCGGCCATGATTTTTTTTTNAAATTGTTCGAAATTGTTGTTGCTTGAGATTGAAAATGAAAATGTGTGTGTGAGTTTGTGAGTAAATTTAAAAATTAAATTGTTTGGAAACGTCAAGAATTTTAAAAGTGACTCTCAGCGGTTCTACCTTACTATATTTTTATCATGATTTCAAGTACGCCGAAAAATGTGTCACAAAAAAATCGATTTTGAGTGCTAGAAAAATACACAAAAATTTAAAAAATTGAATTGAAGCAGCATATTTTTTGAGCGGCAAGCTTTGAGGCGCGGTAGAAATCACAGCAGTGATGAGCTAAAGTTTGTGACTTTGTTAGAATACGGCTGAGAGTCTTTCGCATTGACGGATATTAAATAAAAAGGGAAGCATGTAACAAAACGAAAAAAAACAAGTTTCTAAATATTAAATGAGAGTAAAAAAAATATTTTTCTTTTTAAAACAATAGAACCTA